GTGTGTCCAGAGTGTGTACCTGAGCCTGAGTGTACAGGTGTGTGTCCAGAGTGTGTACCTGAGCCTGAGTGTACAGGTGTGTGTCCAGAGTGTGTTCGGCTTCACTCAGCCTCCGTCCTCCTTCGCAGCCGTTGGACAACAAGCCTCTGACCTGCAACACAAACACGTATCGCTCAGAAACTACACACTGACTCACATTCAATCATGCAACGGTAACATTCAACATTTTAAGAAGCAGTACTTTTACTCGAGTACTTTTCATGTTTACATCTCTAATAGTGACATCGAGCTGCTTTAAAGGAAACCAAACGTCACCTTTTCCACGAGATGCTTGAATAACGACAGCAGCCTCCGATTGGTCAGCAGGATGTGGTGGGCGGAGTCTTCTCCACTTATATTGTCCTTTCCCAGCATTCTCTGCAGCTCTGCCATCTGCCCACTACCAACGAAGAAGAACCAATGCATGACGTGTATGTACAGGTGTACTATGAGCTGCAGATGTTTCATCCCTGATATCAGTTTTATTCCCTTCAGCAGCATAAAGGTTGTTCAGACCATCTTCGCCTGACTCAGCAGGTATAAACCGCCTATTAGCTCTTCATCTGTCTGCATGTAAACATGTTAAATCCACCTGGCTATGTGAAACAACAACCTAACCAACCAGCTAAAGTTCTGCTGCGGGTTTGGACTGAAGCGGTCATGCCCTCCACCTCCATCGCTCCTTTGCTGGCGGCTCTGTCTCTTTTCTTTCTCTCATGTGGGCGTGAGGAATCCCTATTGGATAACAAGCTGAACGAGGACACCTGCGACAGGGAGCGGCTCACCTGCCTTCAGTCATCAGCGGCCATAAGAGAAGGGCCCGGTCCATCCCTGGACTCCGGACCGTTGTACTATCCACAGTCAGTCAGCTGAGCCCAGCTCCAGCTCAGTGTCTGTTGCTGGACTCTTGTTACGATGTTCTGCTGACTCATCGCCACCGCTGAGGCTAGCGCCGCTGTATTGTGTGCGGACGGCATTTGTATGTTATTGATGGTCTCAGCGTCTGAGTGCGTTCTGTCTGGTCCAACCGGTCCTAGCCGTGTCACTCGGTTACTTCCCTACTCTGACAAACATTTAGATTCGTATGATCGAGTCTGTACCATTTTCTATGGTTCACATTTCCGTCTGCTGTCCCTTCTGGATTTCCGTAGTTTTTCTGTGTCAGTGTATTTCTTGTAGTGCAGTCTCTGCCATTCCTGTAGGGGTCACTGTTGTACCATTCCTTAGACTGGCTGAGTTTGAGTCCTGTGGTTTGTATTATTACCTGAATAAACTATGAAACCTTTAGTTGGTGTTCTGTGTTCTGTCCCAACAGAAGGTAAAGCAGCTGCTGCTGGTTCCTTCAGGGAACTGTCCTGTTTAAACACAGTTCTCATCTCCAAATGTTCCACCAAATCAAACTGTTTAGAAGGAACACCGTGAGCAGGGCTTCCTGTTCTTAGCCCCGCCCACTGTGACCACACAAACGCCAGTGTGTTGGTCCTGCAGCAGAGCGATGAGCTGCAGAGGCTTCATTAGGACACACATGAAGTGTTGAGGCAGGTGGAGTCACTCAGAGCTCCGTGGAGCATTCTGATCATCTACTGAGGACAACAACATTTTCTCTGTGCCTTCATGTGCACGATGTGAGATAAATGTGTGTTCTCCCTGATAGATAGCATGACAAACTCTCCTTAACTGGAAATGTGGGCAGCAGCTGTGAGAACATTTGTGTCGCGTTGTTCTCACCTGGTTGTGTTTGCAGCAGCAGCAGGTCGGTTCTGGTCCGTCTCCTCACTGAACTCTTCATCCTGAAACAGTTTATTCAACAAATCGGGGCATTAAACGACATAAAAAATAACTGTGACAAAAGGTTTTGCTGTTTCATCACTGAATATAAATTGAGATTTCCTGATCAGACTTTTTCCATGAAATATTTGCGATCTGCAGGTGTGACACCAGCTCCCAGATGATACACACTTCATGTACCACAGACCAGCTGCAGTACCTGGCTGTTCCACCAGGGGGAGCCTCTCCCTGTTTAATCCCGTAGAGACCAGAGGAGGCGTTTACAGACTACAGCTCATGGGGGCAGCAGAGAGCATTGTGGGAGTTTAGCAGCAACGGGACCATGACAGAGACTCTGAGGAGGTTCAGGACCTCCAACCAGAGCTGATGTATTGGAGATAAACTAGAACAGAGTTCCTGATCAGGTGGAACAGAACTGACTGAGGACCAGACTAGAGTCTGTGGTCTGAAACTGGATAAAAGGACATTGAGCTGATAATTTTCTAATCAATAACTGATCAATTCAGGACACTTGTGCAACAGCAGATATAAACAAAGGATCCGGCCGAAGTCTGAAAAATGCTCTGATGGAGCCAGATCCTGATCTGTGGTTCGGATCTGAACATGATGATAAAAATAACAGAAGAAGCCACGAGTGTGTTGAGTTCTGGTGGAGGAGCTGCAGAACCAAACACTGCAGCTGGTTCTTACAGACCTCCTGCTGCTGGACCACCTAAACAGGTGTAACAGGACACAGGTGACCCTCAGCTTCAGGCGAACCTAGACTTCCACCTGGTTCTTGGATGAAGCTGAAACGTCTTCACGAACCAGAAAGAAGTCCACTTTCACCTGAAGCTCTGAGGATCACCAGGACCTGAGCAGAACCTGCACAGACAGAAACCAGGTCACATGTTCAGGTAAACTGAACCTGGTTCTGCTTGCTGATTGGTCAAAGGTTTACCTTCGTCAGGTACTTACCTCTGATCCCAGCTGCAGATATCTGTCCTCCCATTTGAGTCCAGGCTTCAGGTCACATCTGGATTCTGGATGAACATCTGAACTGGATCTGGACTTCAGCACTGATGTGGAAGCAATCTGGAAGTCTTTGGTTTCCTCTGATCTGGATTCAGGCTTCAGATCTCTGGTGTCCTCTGATCCAGATCCAGGTTTAAGTTTTCTAGTCTCCACTGATATAGATTCAGGCTCCAGATCTGATCCACCTCCCGGCTGTACATCAGAGCTGGGTTTTAGATCTGAGCTGGATCCAGACTGAAAGTCCAACTTAAGGTCTGATCTGGATTCACGCTGCTGGTCTTTGGTCTCCTCTGATCTGGATCTGAGCTGCAGCTCGAATGCAGATTCTTTGTCTCTGGTTTCTGGTCTAGATCCAGGCTGC